CAAATAAGAACATCCAGTTAACTCTATCAAAAGTCTTTTCTGCATCTAGAGATAATATACTAGTTTCTCTGTTTTTACTGGAAGAGAAATCTATCAAATTAAGTAATCTACGTGTTTGTGACTGTCTACCCTTAAGAACACCTACCGCCAGTTCTTTCCTTGCCACTCTCAGTGCTGATGTCTCACCTGCCCTGAATAAGGCATCCCTGGCTTTCAGCAGACCTCTCACCTCAGCATTCAGCCAGGGTTTCTGGTTGGGGTAGCATTTTATTTTCTTGGTAATGGTGACATCCTCAGTACACTTGGAGATCAATCCAAGGACCGAGGAGGTGTATTCCTCTAGGTCCACCTCTCCCTCTTTTGTTGTTGCTTGTCTGAAGACCTGCCAATCTGTGCACTAGAAGCAGTCCTGGAGCACATATGCTGCATCAGTGGACCACACAATGACAGTCTTCTTTGTTGGCCCAATCCTTCTCAGCAGAGGGCGATATGTTGGCGCCAGCAGGAGGGAGAAGTGGTCAGAGAGGACAAGTTGGGGGCGAGAAAGAGCTCTGTATGCGCCACGGATGTTAGTGTATACACAGTCCAGCATGTTGTCTCCTCGAGTAGAAATGGTGACATGCTGGTAAAAACTTGGCAGAATGTCCGTCAGTTTCATGTGATTAAAGTCTCCTGCAACCACATAAAACACCTCAGGGTGCTTTGACTGCAGCGAGTTAATGGTGTCATATAGCTCCTGTTGCGCTATCCTAGCATTAGCGCTAGCATTACCACCCGGTGGGATGTAAACAGTGGTGACGAACACTGCTGTAGACTCTCTTGGCAAATAGTGCGGTCGGCATTTTACCGTCATTAGTTCTATTGCCTCAGAGCAGTAGCTTTTCACCAGCACACAGTTTGTACACCAACCTCCATTCATGTAAGCACACAGTCCACCTCTTGTTTTCCCCGAGCTGTAGTCGCGGTCCGCTTTGAACAGCTGGAAGCCATCGATCTGAAAGGCTGAATCCGGCATGTTGTTATTTAGCCAGGTGTCCGTGAGACAAAGAACAGCACAGCGCTTCATCTCCATGTAAACACTCAGGCGTAACAGATCCATCTTATTGTCCAGGGAACGGATATCTGCCAGGAACAAGGAAGGAATCGGTGGTTTCTTAGCCATTGAATGGGCCTGCGCGCACGCCCGTTTTTCTCTTTTCTGTTTCCGGGCACATCGTTTCCTCTTGCCTGCTGCTCCTTTGTTAAAAAGTAAGGCTTAGTTCCGGGAGCTTGAGAAGCCGCTGCATGACTGTGCGCCGCCATCTTTAATGATGACAATGATGATGATGATGATAGTGATGATGATGCTGACGATAATGATGATGACAGCGATGATAATGATGTTAATGACGATAATGATGATAGTGATGATGATGATGATGACGATAATGATGACAATGATGATGATGATGATGATAGTGATGACGATGATGTTAATGACGATAATGATGACAATGATGATGATGATGATGATAGTGATGATGATGATGATGTTAATGACGATAATGATGATAGTGATGATGATGACGATAATGATGACAATGATGATGATGATGATAGTGATGATGTTGATGATAGTGATGATCATGATGATGATGACGATAATGATGACAATGACGATAATGATGATGACAGCGATGATAATGATGTTAATGATGATAATGATGATAGTGATGATGATGATGATGATGACGATAATGATGACAATGATGATGATGATGATGATAGTGATGATGATGATGATGATGACGATAATGATGACAATGATGATGATGATGATGATGATAGTGATGATGATGATGTTAATGACGATAATGATGATAGTGATGATGATGACGATAATGATGACAATGATGATGATGATGATAGTGATGATGTTGATGATAGTGATGATCATGATGATGATGACGATAATGATGACAATGACGATAATGATGATGACAGCGATGATAATGATGTTAATGATGATAATGATGATAGTGATGATGATGATGATGATGATGACGATAATGATGACAATGATGATGATGATGATGATGATAGTGATGATGATGATGTTAATGACGATAATGATGATAGTGATGATGATGACGATAATGATGACAATGATGATGATGATGATAGTGATGATGTTGATGATAGTGATGATCATGATGATGAAACACACATTATTGTGTGTGTTTGTCATAGCTGAGAAAATCAAATCAATTACAAAAGATGGCCCTCAAGTTCTGCCAAACAAGGCAGCAAATGAGATTAGTCTGTCACAAATAGTCGTAACAAACAAGTAAACTAAACATGTCATGTGAAATAACGGCCTGTTTTGTTTGTTTTTCATGAAATTCACAGCATCTAGTATCAGCTCATTCATGCTTTTACACATGGCCCTGGTCTTCTCATCACTTTTCTTTCCCTTCTGATTGTATTCCATCTTTCTGTCTTCTCTGCTGCCTCTCATCCCTCCCATACTCTTCATCCTTTTCTACCGTTTGTTCTTTTTTTCTCAGGTCACTGTGTTCCTTCCTTTCCTTTGGCAGCACCCTTCTTTCTTCTTCCCTGCATGAATTTTTCCATAAGTGACGAGATGAATAGTATCTCTGCTCAGCTTGCCATAGGCTCTCTTCAATATTTAATCAAGAGTACATTTGTTTGAAGAGAGGTTTGAATATGTGTGAGACTGAAGAGATGAAAAGAGATGTCTGACCGGTGTGTGTTTGTGTGCAGGGGAGGTAGATAGCAGTGTGTGTGTGTGTGTGTGTGTGTGTGTGCGCGTGTGTGTGTGTGTGTGTGTGTGTGTGTGTGTGAGTTGATAAAAGCTGCCTCCATATGGTAAATAGTTTATCTCTCCCCCCCTCTTCTCTATAACCCATTCTTCTCCCACTGCCTCAGCACACCCACCATGCCCTGTGTGGTGCTATCCTATATGAGCACTTTCATACACAGTTTCTTTTCTAAGGTTCTATCATGTATATTTGATTTTGCTGTGTGTGCATGTGTGACTGTGTGTCTGTAGCGTGTGCTGGTTTCGGTGTGGTCCCCGAGGAACAGAGAGTAGCATATTTTATCATCATCCAGACAGAAAAAGACCAAAGTTCCCTGCCCCTGTTCTGCTTCTTCAGCATTTTTTATCGTGCTTGATGGTGTTTTCCCTCCTTCCTTTTTTTACTTTCAGGTATAGCTTCTCGTCCTCTGAGTTTAAGGAAGAACTAACGAGGATTGGAGCTGCTCACGTAGTGCTCATTGAAAATCCTTTGAATGCTGGAGGGCTTTTCCTTTTCCATTTCGCCCCAAAGACCTTCGGCATACATGTAAGTAATAAAAGTAAACGTCTCTAAAAGGAGAATTGGTCTGGGATGGAACCAGAGTGAGAGGTGAGGTTCAATTTAGTAGCAGAGCTTTGTTTGAGAAAATCACTCAACATGTAAAACAAAACAAACTAAATTTGAAGCTAGGGCTACAAACAAGGATTTCATGTTAAATGCATTTTGTTATGTGGTAGAAAATGAGACAAGGTAGCTAAATATGACTAAGTCGTGTTACCCTCTGCATTCTCCCTGGCCTGGCTGTTTGCAGACCTTGATTGCACCAGTGAGTGCAGACAAAAGGCCTTCATAAGGCCTGCTTGGCGAAGGTTCACGCACGTTACCACTGGGGCTTCTGCCTGATTGACTAGTTTGGCAGGTTTTTACATGACTGTTTTGATAAAGACACCATTTTATGTTGTGGCCGAATGAGCTAAAAAACGCTAAAGAAGAATAAAAAGCTAGCACCTTACTGGACAACTAGACAATTTTGCAGAAAGACACGATTTTTAGTTGTGGTTTCATTACATTTGCACTTACAAGTTTTTTGTGAACTTTGGTAAACCTCTCCAGGGTTTACCAAAATGTTAGCTTTCATTTTGCAGGAATGTAAAAAAAACATTTACACAACTAAATAAAGAATATTTGGTTTGAATACACCGACGATGGTGTGTGTCAATGCAGGAATCTGACATCAAACATATGGAGCTCATGCAGAAGCTGCTTGATGAAGATCAGGCTGGCATGCAGCGTGTCATCTCTGCACATGGCTACCTCTGTCCTCGACTCATAAGAGAGCGGAGAATAATTCTGGTATTTTGGTCAACAGGTCTGCTCGCATTTATTTTTATTGGATTTCATGAAAACTTGCAATCACAACAATTTTATTTCCAAAGGTTTAGAACAAGTTCAAAATTCACTAAAGAGGGGCTCTGTAACCATTTCAAAGAAATCCACAAGACAAATTGGAAACTCACTTCCTGTTTGCTAATTTGTAGCTGATAGTTGCAGCCCAGAGAAATACAGGTTTAAAAGAGAAGAATATCAAGGAAAAAGGGAAAGATAACCCTGCTCACAGAGCTAAATATGACATCATCCTACAACAATCAGCATCTCCCTTCTCCTCAGGCACAATCCTGCGCTTCAGTATTTGTTACATCTCAGGGGAAGCTTTATGAGCCACGCTCTGAAAAGGGACTGATTGGTAGTTTCACACATGAGGAACCCCCCGATGAGGACAGTTTGGCGGGACTGGGGTGAGCAGCGTCTGAGGTATCCGAAATCCAAATGAGGTGAGCGGTGGGGAGAGCGGGTTGGTCCAGGCGTGGATCAGGCTCGAATGCGTTGTCCAGGTTGTTGCAGAGGTGGTCGGAGGCGGAGGGATCCTGGTGAGGATAAGGTGAAGTAAGTCTTGACAACAACACGTGAGCACAAAAACAGGGACTAAGACTTTAGTTAAACTCTAGCCGGCGAGAGCTACCCAAGGTGAGTAATCATCCGGCGAGGTGAAGTGATCTCTCAGCCATGGACGTAATTTTCACTTTAGAAGTGGGGGGACATGGGGGTGGGGGGGTGGGGGTATTTACAGTATGCTCTAATGGGAAACAGACTTCAACACAAACGGTTGTTTTCCACTTGGTCCTAAAGCACAACCAGTGTCAATTTAATATAGCGTAATATTGTTTTTGGATGGTAAAAAGTGCAGGGGTAAAAACTTGACTTTGGAAAAAGTGGGGGGGGGGACAGGTCACCCCTGTCCCCCCCAAAATTACGTCCATGCTCTCAGCTCCTTATAAACGCTGGACCGGTAGATTGTGAATAGCCTGCAGCTGGCCGCTCTCCAGAACCACCCACCTGCAGAGACTTGGGGCATGATTAACAGAATGGTGCTGACTCACCCCAGATCCTGACATTTTGGATGATTATTTTTAGTTGTCAGGCAGTCCAAAGATGCCTAATTCAGAAGCCACCTGCCCTAGAAACTATTAAGAAAACAGACAATAAAATTGACTAATTAGCAACCAGCCAATAAGATCCAACAGAAATATTTAAAACTTCATTGTGTCTCATGGGAGTTTTTTGTTATTTTGCACATATTCTTGTTAGTTTTAGACGAGTAAAGCTTCCCTGGAAAGAGATGTGTGTATTGTTAGCTGTCACAAATTCAAGCTAGGACTGAGCTTTTTATAAACTTTGATAGTTTACCTCAAAAACTGAGACCACGTTTGCCTGAAAATGATAAATGGCAATTGCTATGACAAAATATTAAGCACATAAAGCTGCAAGAGGCCACAGAATAAAATCTGTTCTGGATTCAGATTGCTGTGATGAAAGAAGCTCAGAGTAATTTCTTCAGTCTGAAACGTGACAATATTCTATTTATGCTAAATATAATGACATGCTTTTAATGTGTTTATGAGTCAAGAACATGGATCTGATTGGATAAAATATTTTTGTGTATGAGTGAATAATCCAGTTCCATTTCTTCCTTCATGTGACTCACAGTGACGGTGCCAATCTGAGACTAGGAAGTGGTCCAATTATCCCAGATTACGAACCCCATCGAGTTATAGAAGAGAAGCGGCTGAACTCTACTTGACTTTATGTCTCAGATCTCCACTCATATCTGCTGAATTTAAATGAATTATCTTTCAAGTTGTGTCCCCAAAAGTTTTAAAATTAAATTAGTTCATGCTCAAGAGCTTAAAGGCAGACACACTGTAAAAATAGCAGTATAATTTGTTCATTTGTTTACTTTTTCTTTGTAAAAAATACATAATTATACTCTAAAGCACTCTTGCATTGTTTTTTAACAGAAAACTCCCTTATTTATAACGATATAAACATTATGATTTATACATTTATTTATTTTAAAAAATACAGCTTGTAATGGTGTAGGGAGTTTACTTCCTGTTTCCCAGTGTGCTTAGTGGCATTTATATATCTTTTGTGCGTTTATTCAGTGTTTTTATTCATCATCAATTTCTTGTTCTTTTCTTACACAATTTTGTAAAAAACAATTTTTTTTACCTGACATGTTTCAGCTAGCAGCTCGTACACACACACACACACACACACACACACACACACACACACACACACACACACACACACACACACACACACACACACACACACACACACACACACACACACACACACACACACACACACACACACACACACACACATTACCAGTAACTAGTCAGTTAGTTAGTAGTGCACTTTAATCATGTTATTTTTAAATAATTACTTGGTCTATGTTGAATAAATAACTAATTAATTGAGAATCTTTACTAATATTTTACAAACTTTTGCTATGGGATAAAAGGAAAAGAACAACATGAACTCAAAAAGTAAACCTGGCAAGGCTTTTACCCACAAACCAGCCTAGAATAGCTCCTAAATCATCACTGCCACTACAGGCAGAGAAATGCACGGTCCTCTAGTTCATCTGTCATTGTCATCCGCTCTGCTCAGTCTGCACAGCCAACACGTGGAGTTAACTGTATTCTACACCAGCTGCACCCATAACGTGGCTGAGGAGGTCCAGAAAAGACACCATGTTACTTTATTCTTCTACAAGAAGTTTAATTCTTCAGAAACAAATAGGTTAGGAGTTCACCCTGTAACCAGAGGGTTGCAGGTTAGAACGCAGGCTCCAGCCATCCTTGGGCAACACTTCACCCAGCTTGCCTACTGGTGGTGGTCAGAGGGACCCGTGGCGCCTGTGTACGGCAGCCTCACCGGGACACACTTCTGTCAGTTTGTCTCAGGACAGCTGTGGCTACGGATCGATGTACCTCATCACCACTAGGGTGTGAATGAGTGAATGCAGTGTAAAGAGCTTTGGAGTCCTCTGACTCAGAAAAACGCCCTACAAGTGCAGATGTTTTAACTTATTTATTTATTTTTAATTTGTGTTTTATTTCTATAAATCACATTTTATTGGATATTTTACATCATACATTTTACATATTTTCCATATTAGCTCTACGTATTTTAATCCTTCCAGTGTTTCCTCTGTGGAGCCCTCTGCCTCGGGACCGATGGTTGGTGGCGGCACTCCTAGGGTAGTGCCCAGGTAGTGGTGGGGTGGGGGTTGCCACCCTTCCTCCCAGGGCGCCCTGGATTGGTGTCTTGGCTGCTGCCGTCGATCTGCTGCTGTCGAGGCAGATGGCTCCCTTGATGGCGTGTCTTTCATTACCTGTTCAATCTGAGCTCAGCCTAGTGTTTACTGTGGTCTTTCAATGTGTTATGTGTACGAGTGTGTGTGTGTGCGGCTGGGAATGGTTTGTGGATTGGGGTGAAGCTATCACAATTGTTTTAAGTGTGGGAAAGGGAGGGAATGTGGGTTATATGGATCATTTTAATCTGTTAAGCACTTTGTGTTGCATCCTGAGCATGAAGAGCACTATATAAATAAAGTTTGATTTGATTAGATTTTTACCATTTATCTACAGCAATTCACACAAGGAAAAACATGAAGCTGCAGATTTAGAAGAATCCGTGAAACTGAGGTAGGGGGATGGGAATCTTTCTTACCTCAAAGTCGACCTTCAAAAGAGCATTTTGTTGAATCTTTATAACCATATGGACCATCTTCTGATGCTGCTTCCAGCAGGATCATGCACCATGTCACAAAGCTCAGATCATCTCTAACTGGTTTCTAGAACATGACCATGAGTTCACTGGACTCCAACAGCCTCCACAGTCACCAGATCTCAGTCCAGTGCAGAACCTTTGGGATGTGGTGGAACGGAAGGTTCTCATCATGAATGGAGCTGATGCTGTCATGTCAGGATGGACCAGAACTTGTGAGGTGTGATTCCAACTCATCTGATCTATGAAACAAAAAAAAGTAAATGTTAAATATCTCCTTCTAGAGTCATAGATCCCCCCCAAGGTGCTTTACAACAAAACGGTCACAAATAAGGTGAAGGGCAAAGGGGTAGTAAGCAGCTTGCAGGGTGAGTCGCCAAACACCTTCACAGAGCTGCTCTTTGTTTACTTTTAGAAATTTGAGACAGGTTTGATGACATAGCCCTGCTTGTTATTGCCCCCCTCCACACACACACACACACACACACACACACACACACACACACACACACACACACACACACACACACACACACACACACACACACACACACACACAGCGACCATTTGTTTTGTTTTATGGCTTAAAGTCGAAGTAGAAACAAACCATAAGACTGGTGGTGGGACAAACTAGGCTCTTCCTTCGTTTGACCATCGAAGCAGGAAACGGTGGGAGTGACGCAACGTGCACCTGTAGACCCCCCCCCCCCCCCCCCCCCCCCCCCCCCCAGGTAAACACGTCAGACTGGTAGTAGACTACAGAAGAGCGGGACACGAGCAGTTGGGTGGAGCGGCGTCGCGTGCTGCTGCGGAATACGTTCGATAGGTCGGTTTGGCTGCAGATGCGGGTCGGTGAGCGCGCGAGGCGGCGGTAATGGCGAACGGAGACGGGCGGTGGTGCGCTGCCTTGTGAGGGGGCACAGAGTAGACACACACTCGCCGGTTAGTAACGACAGGCAGGCGGGAGGACACAGGAGGAAGCGGGAGCCAACCATGGAGGGCTCGGAGCCCGCAGAAGACGGCTTGCTCGCTGGTTTACGGTGGAACCGGAGCGCGCGGGACCAAGCTCAGCTCAAACACAAAATCCGGGATCTACCGGGGCTCCTCAAGCACGGACTGCACCTGCGGAAGAAGAGCGTGAGTGTTTCAGACGTTGTCCTTCCGTGTTTTTATGTGAGCAACCTTAACGGTTCACCCGGACTCGGGTTGGAGGCCGTTTCTGAGCTCGTCACGACTCAGGTGTTTTCACTCCGCCTCGGGCATCGCTGTCGCAGTGCCAACCTTCTACCACCTGCTCGGAGGTGTAGCACGACCTCCATAACCAGCAGAGTAGCTGCTGGTCACCATACCTTTACACGTCCTGTTGTAGCCAAGGCAACCACCAGCAGATCCACAACACCTATGCTGACATCAGCTCCTGTTTCTCTACTCAGTCACAGCATTTTCCCTTATATTGATAAAATGTAGAATACAAATATTATTACAGCTAATTAAAGCCTAATGACTTGCGTTTAAGTCTTATTTAAAGTACACCTCTCAAATGATGCATAACAGGTTTTTTTTTGTAAATAATCTTATTTCCTTGCAGATCTGATCAATGTTGCTGACATTTTCAGACCTAAGCTGGCATATTTGTACCATGACTGTCAGATCTGTCCTTTGGCACTTTTGATACTCTTAAAGATTGGTCAGCCAAGCAATAAATCTCAGTGACTTTGTGTGTTTCCATGTGGAAGAAACACACCCGACAAGCCAAATGGCTGCTTAAAGTGTTGGCTCTGCTCATCTTTCTCATCAGCAGCAGCCGTTTCAATACAAATCCCCCATTGCCTATGTGAGAATTAGAGGCGGCGCGCCAGGACTTTCTGTCCCCGGTGGAGCCAGATGTGCTAAAAATATGGGAAGTTTCTGTTGTCAATCCACACAGGATGTCATGTTACATCTGATGGTTTTAACTGATGCTTAAATGAGCTGCAGACAGAGGCCACTCTGTGTCCTGTTAACAGGCAACGCTATCAAATTGCCCTGTCAAAGTAAGTCACTGACATTATATTTTAAAGTAAATGTCAGAGGAGGGTAAAAAGCAGGAATATTACATTAGAAATGAAGAATGGCCCAGTGATTGGATCAACTAATCTTGTTATTCATTTGAGACTGAAAGAAAAATTGGAAAACTGAATGGATGAAGAATGTTTTCTGCTTTTTTTCATCTCTGGATTATGAGGGTGAGTGAGCTCAGTGTGGTGGTGTAAAGGTATGACTGTTTAGTGCAGACTGCAGACTCTGCCTGACGCATGCATGCATGCATGCAGACATTAATGTATTCAGTCACCAAAACAAACCCACACGATAAACTTAACAAAGGGGACAATCTAAAGAGATTCTACAGCATGTTCCTCCAGAATCAGACTCCTCTGCACACATCTTGTGTGTTCATCAAGCACTTTCTGACGTTACCTCGTGTGCTTGCTGTTTGCAAATAGCATATTGAGTGAATTGAAGCTGTATTGTTGCAGAGAGCCATCAGCTACCTTTGCTAGCCTCCAGCAGTCCTGATTCAGATTATTTTTGTTGGGACTTGTTCTACCTTCCAAGTGTCTTCTATTGGCTGCATTATGGGAGCACACTAATTTGCTTAAACTTGGCTTCTGAACTTGAACAAGTCCAGCCAGCGTGCATTGCTGCAAGTTGAGTTGGACGATTCACAAGAACATTCTGGTTAACCATTTTCATTTTTCTCAGGTCTCCCTTCTGTTAGGTGTTGGATTTAGAGTTAATTTTTCACCCGACAGAGCACACATTTCTCTCTGAGAATGACTGATTAGGGTGCTGAGGTAGCTGATCTGACCTGAAAATAGACTTGATGTTTTTCAGCCCAAGTTATCTGCAGCATGCTGAAATAGACTATAGCTTAAAGAGCAAGTCACCCCCAACCAGAATCTTACTCCACTCCCACGTTCTGTTTGAAAAAGCAACAAAGGCTGTTACCTGGCAGACAGAGAGGGCAGAGCCGCTAACAAATACACACACACACTGGTTCACAACAGCATTGTGACATCATAGGGTACCAGCTAGCGTCATACGGTACCCCTTAAGCAATAGTGATGGTAGATTTAAATTCAAATGCAGTGCAGAGTTTTTACCTGAAGAAGGCGCAACACTGACAGTTTTAGGCAGAAAATTTTAATTCTAACTAAGATGAACTAATGTGTCAAATTGTTGATTACATGTGTCTATAGCAGGGGTGTCAAACTCAAACACACACGGGGCCGAAATGAAAATCTGGGACGAAGTCGCGGGCCAAACGTAATATTTTTTGAAAAAGTGACGGCAAATTTGCACATTTTCTTTATCAACATATATGCAATTTAGAACCTTTTAATTTGGAGACAAACTTATTTTTGCATTAACACTGAATGTGGAATAACCAAATTACACACGACCAAGTCAATGTTAAATAAAACACATCAGTGGTATTCATTACTTGTGGTACATTCAGCATTTTAAAATCTATTCAGGATTTATGTTTTCTTGTTTATTCATTTTCTTATTTTTTATTCTCCTTTTTTTCTCCTGTAATACGTGTCATCGCTGCTGTGACGTCTAGCTTTCCCCACTGAGGAACAATGAAGGGATTTTCTATTCTATTCATCCATCTGCAGTCTTTCCACTTCCTGTTTACTGTAGGTTAAATCTTTTCTCACGGGCCAACAACAAAATAAAAATATCATTTCATCTTAAATGAAAATGCAACATCTCACCTGTTAACTTTCATGTTTTGGAGCAGAAAAAGAGCATAAAACCAACATATTTAAACCTCAGTTTGCTCCACTGGTTTACTGTGATGCTCACCTGTTCCAGCCAGATACCTGCATCATGGGGTTGAGCTCTGAGCTGATGAGGAGACTCCTGTTGTTTTGTTCATCTTCATCATAATAATGACAACATTAGATGACAACAGGTGCTCACATAGGTTTGTGCTGATGAACCTGGAGAGCGTCTGAGCAGCTTGACCACGTTGTTGTGTGTCGGGGAGGAAAAATAAAACTACAGCAGCCACAGAGTCATGCTGATTTGAGCATGTCGCTGCTCGCTGGAGTTATATCAGCTCTGTCTGGAACTTAGTTGGAAAACTTTCTCATTCAGTCGTGAACACATTACTGAGCGGTTAAAATCTCCATTTCTGGGCTTCAACGTTGGCAAATAGCTGAGTAAACTCAGCGCTGAGTGAGAGGAGTGTTTAGTTCGTCAGAGACAGTAGAGCTGCAGACACCGGCAGCAGACACTGGAAAAAAACACAAAGGAGGGGGCGCTTCGGCTCCGCGCTAATGCCGCAAAGCATCATGGGAGTTGTAGTCTTAGCGGTAAAGTCGGCCAGCGGGTCAGTTTTATTATATTTTTGATTTTTCATCTCGCGGGCCACATAAAAATGCCACATCTGGCCCGTGGGTCTTGTGTCTGACACATGTGGTCTACAGCATGATTAGACACTCATTTATAGAGCTTATCAGCAAAAAACTGTTCATTTGGGGGTTACTGGCTCTTTACCTTTTTTCTAAACAAACATCTGAGGACCCAGTCTGAGGGTGGTGATGAACTTTAGTCTTAAGCCTGGGGCACAACGGAGGCGGCCGCGCCGCGCTGTCATTTTAAGTAGAAGCCATTATAGTTGATGAGAGTGGGCACATGGGGAGCGCCGCACCGCGTCCCAAAAGTGCCGCGGCACAACGAAGCACTAAAGATGGTCGCCAGTTCTATCTCAAGCGCAGCTGCTGTTTACGACACTGTGGAGTACTTTACAACAGATATTACAACGTGGAACTAGCCTGGCAAGCCAGACTAAATAAATGTATTATTTAGTCTGGCCACGCTCCATTGACGGCTCTCGGTTGTGGGGCGGGTGCTACCGTTGTCTTTAAAATGATCTCCGCATGCTACTGGACAATGAATGTGACATACTCTTGTTTCACTCTGTTGCATCATCCCACTCACCAGGCATATAGAGTGCCCTGATTGGCCCACAAAGCGGATAAAGCTCTGTGATTTGTTCACTAAGCAGATAGAGCACTGTGATTGGCCCACCATTATGGACCAATCACAGCTCTTTATTTATGTTTTATGTTTTATGTTTATTCATTTCGCAGACGCTTTTATCCAAAGCGACGTACAATTTTTATAACCTATAGGGCATGTTGTGATCTGTGGGGGAAACCGGAGTACCCGGAGGAAACCCACGCATGCATGGGGAGAACACACAACTCCACGCAGAAAGGCGTGGAGTTGTGTGTTTGAAACCCTTTATGTGTTTGAAACCCCTCTAGAGAGTTGTGATTCGCTAGCCAGAGTCCTGGTAGGAGCTGCAGAGGTTCCAATGGAGCGTGCCTAGACCAAACTTTGCAAAGCAAGAATTTAGTCTAGTTCACTAGGCTAACGCGGAACGGCTTTACGGCACAAACCCAGCCGCAGTTTTGATAACTTTAAAGTACTGTTGATCTTAAAATATCCAAAGAAGTAGCGTACTTACCCCTTTTTAATCAATTTGAGTCTCACAAAACATGACAGCAAGTCTGATCACGTATAAACAATAGTCACTTCCCGCTTTCTGTTCTGAAGTCCTGCGTGATGTTGCGACTATCGCGCGACTATCCAAGAAGCGCTCAGCGGCGTGTCCTGTTCTCGAGCACGATGCTGCGCAGCATGTCCGCCTCCGGTGTGCCCCAGGCTTTACTTTAAAAACGATGCAGAAAAGTAAAACAACATTTCAGTCATTGTTTATTTTTCCTTAAGCGACTGTCCGTCAGGCTTTTCTAGTACTAAAGTTTTGCCATCTATTTTCTATCAGAAGCTAATGCAGGAAATAAGTGTAGACTAATTTATTTATTTGGTAGTATTAATTTATTTGTTTTTTTAGCTTTCACAAATATGAAAAAGTGGTGTGGATCTGCAGAACTCTGAGTGGCTCTGCCAGATCTCAAAAAGGCTTTACATGTCTTTTTTTAAAGGAACAGAAAGCATAATTTTTAATGTGCAAAATGAGATGTGTGTTTGCGAACTGCAAAAGGAGCGCAAGGATGATGTCAGAGATGAGCGAAATACAGTAAATGTTTCATTTAAATTCTCAATAAAAGAAATTGATA